TTTAGTTGGATTGCACAGAGACATAGGCGGTTCCTAGCGACGACGACCGGGGTTCCTAGCGACGAAGATCGAGAGGAGAAAAATGGGTGATGAGCAAGGGGGAGGGGGCGACGACGAGGAGTGCGGTAGAGAGTTATCTTCAGTTTTAGATCAGACTTTTGTAGCACTGATGTTTGACCCACTGGAAGGGGGGAGGGGGTGGAAAACCTATCACAGAGAAACTGAGCTGTTCAGTGGCAGCGACTGAGGTTTAGTTTGCCTTATTAATGCCCTGTGTCTATACAGTTGCACAGATTCCTCAGCATTAGCTGGTCGGCGGAACTACAGCCCACGATGTATCGATGTGCTGTTTCGCAGTCACATTTCCATTGCATCTTGCATATATTTAGTGCTGCTTTTTGTTACGCTTAATGTAAATTAGGGCAGATATCGACTTGTTGATTGCCAAAAACTCACCGGGAAGAGAACAGACACGAAACCGTAACTACATAAGTGCACTTGTTGGATTAGTGACCCTGCTGAAATTGAGAGATGATCTTGTTTCGCCTGTACTGTCTTTGCCTGTCCACGTACAATCTGTCATTAAGCTGCTGCAGTAACAGTTATAAAAGATCTTCTGTTTAGTGGTCCATCACCGGTGCAAACGGAACAATCGACACCACCGAACAGTCTTGCTCTGGGGCTGGATATGGGCGATCTGGTGTCCGAGAACGATGAAATAAGTATGGCTTCCGATGATAACCGTGCATATATGTGTACGTGCCGGAAAATTCCCGGGGGCGGGCCATTCGGTAGGTAACTTTTACAGTTCACTGTGTAGCACAGCTCGGCTGGGAAGTCAAAGGAACCTTCGTTTAGAAATCGTCGAGAATGGTTTCTGGATGTACGGCTCATCTTCGCCGGGTGGTGGCGGCGGCGGCGGACGTCGCGCATTGTTGCTATGTTTGGTGACCAATCTGGTCACTCTTGCTATTGGCGTCGCGATTGGGTAGGTCTCTTCTCATTCATGAAATATCAGCCGTCGCAATGATTTAAGGCAATTATAAAGCGGCTCTAAGCTTCCCCGGTCCCCTGCCCCTCCCTCTCCTCCCTCTTACTGCTCTCTCTTTCGTGTGCATCGGTTGCTCTCCCTCCGTTTTCGCTTTTTTTGCATAAATTTATACACTTTCAACTTCTTTTGACCACGTTTCTCCTCTCACCGAAAGAATATTGGCCATTGGTCCTGGCAGGAAGCAATCGCTTTTTCATTGGAGGTTAAATGCTGTCAACTTTTAAGCTTCATGATGGAAAGTTTTACTGCTAAACTGCCATGTAAATTTAGACATTGGTTTTATTAGCTGTCTTAGCTTAAAAGTATTTTATTAGTCTCAGGCTAGTCAAAATCCGCGCGTTTTGATGTTGCTTGGTATGGGCTGAAAGAGGGAAATGGTGATTTGTGTATTTTTTAAAGACTGAGTAGGGTTTAAGAATTTTTTAAAGCCAAAGATGTGTTTATTGGTGGTGAGAATGTGCGAAAGAAGTTGTTCCTGTGCCACAGGTTAAAGGGATTTTTCTGGCAGTAGGGAGATAGTCGACTGTCTGTGGTGCCATTCAGTTCCTGTAAAATGAGGTAAGCTCACAGTTAGAGGGGCAGAATAAATCTGTCCCCGTTTGGAGAAGTTCCATTTGTACCAATATTAGTGCTTTGCGTTTTTTAGGCTTTCAATTGGTCGAAAATTCTCGGCAATGCCGCATTTCAAGCATCATTACTTCAATTTTAGCTGAAGTGTTGGTGTATGGTCTTATGTATGTATACATAGCAGCGCTGTTGAATACTCGCTCTTACATTACCTTACTGTCATTTATTTTGTACTCACAGTTTTACTCACTTTTTATGTTTTATTGATCAAGAAGCGCAAAAAAATTCTGAAATTTTAAACTGGAAGTGTTATTTGTTTGTGAGAAATGGAATTCCGTCTG